GAGATTCCATCATCAGTATTAGAAGCGATGTCTTTCAGGATCCCATTTTTGTTATTCTATTTATTTGTTTTTGTTTTATTAAAGATTTTATATATTTGTTCACGAGAGACACACACAGAGAGAGAGAGGCAGAGACACAGGCAGAGGGAGAAGCAGGCTCCCTGCAGGGAGCCTGATACGGGACTCAATCCCAGGACCCCAGGATCATGACCTGACCCGAAAGCAGACATACAACCACTGAGCCACCCAGGTCTCTGTATCACTGTATTTATTTGTGTGCTTATTTATATATATATGAGTGTGTGTGTGTGTGTGTGTGTGTGTGTGTATAGAGAGAGACACGTGTCTACAAAAGAAATGCTTAATGTCAGCTCAGGTCATGATCTGAGTGTCATGAGATCAAGCACCAGCCTCAGGCTCCATGGTGGGTGTAGAGCCTGCTTAAGTTCTCTCTCTTTCTCTCTGCCCCTCCCCCCTATCCTACCATCGCCACCAGCCCCCCACACAGCCCCCACTCACACATGTGTGCTCTTTCCCCTCTTTCTTAAAAAAAAAAAAAAGATGCAGTATTTAGGACCTCTGCGGATTATGTCTTTTGAATCATGGTGGTGATACTGATCTGCTGAACTATAGGGCTGCTGTGAAGATTAATAAGCAAGTCAGCAAAGTGTTATTCAGGGTATCTTTATTACTATTATTACTTCCATTGATGGGTAGGTGTATGTGAAGTTAAAAGTGTGAACTTTAACCCTCTATTTGTGTCAGAGTCTGGGCAACAGTGGCACTTGTCTTTTTTTAATGGTTTGTTACATAAACTTCTGCACCATCCCTGGATTTAGGGGTAAGTCGCGCAGGTCAGGATCTGGAATGACTGTGAGGAAATCGGTAGGGGATCACCTCAGACAGCCAGAGTCCATTCTCCTGGGGCCTTTTCTTTTTCTAAACACAGTACACTTACTGATTTCAGCGACTGCTTTTCCTTTGAGCTGGAATTTGGTATCACGAACATAAAACTTTAGTTGCAACCCCTAAAAGCATCCAGCCACTTAATTAGAACAGTCATCCGTAAGACTTTGGTCTTTAAATACACCAGAAGCTCACAGACTTTTGAGCTTTAATTTATATAATTTTGTTCCAGCTCTTGCTGTGTTGTCTGAATTCTTTATAGCATCAAGTGATCTGTTGTAAAAATCTGTAATAGTGTGTATTTTAGGTATCCCGTTGTCTGTTTAAAAGGGTAATAATGAAAAATCTCATGGTTTTAACTAACATTCTTCCTCCCAAGAAATTAAAATCAAACAGAAATCTAAGTTTACATTGTCTTCTAGGCTTTTATTGTCAAAACATTTCTTGCGACGATAATGCTCTAAAACCTTTCGAAGTGTCACCTACAAAGTGATTCGTTAATCGTGTTATTTTGTGTTCATTTCACGATGCTCTGCTTTATCTGGGAAGTATATTAACATCAATAGTTACTGTAGCCTATAAGCTACTATTTATTCGACACCTTCAAATTGTTCTTACTGAAAACCATATAAAGGGCTTTATAGGGCTCTTTGGAACGTGCGCTTTAAAACTAGGGGGTGGTGTTTGCTGACTGGTCAGCAGTGAGTAAATAATTCAGCAGCCGTGCTGTTCTGAGTGTCAGACCCCCAGCGGGCTACTAGATGCTAAGACTTGCTCAGGGTTCCTTTGTTGACTCATACAGTGGCTGACCATGGATGCCTTTCTTTTTAGAAGCAATTCAGTTGTTTGCTGGAAATAGAGCTTTTGAATTGCATAGGATCTTTGTCCTCCTCATTTGAAAAATATTTAAATGATACTGCTCAAAGGGCACACAGAGAAACAGCGTGACTGACTTTCTGACTTTCGGGAAATTAGTAAGCAAGCCGTAGGGCTATTTTTAGCTTTTACTCCTTGCAAACATTTCCTTTTGTTCTTTAGGAGACATTGTTGATCTGTTCATTCATGTGCTATGCTTTCTCCCCCACCACCCGATGGCTTTGGACAGAATAAGCCTTCTCTTCTCTACTCTGAATGACATAACTGCGTTACTTTTTATTTTGTTCAGTTTTAACTCATGAGTTTCTCATTTGTTCATGTTTTTCTAGGTTCTGAAATACCACCAGCACCACCACCTCCAAACACACACACATGTTGTTGTTACTTGGGGCTGATTTGCACCCTTTTCTGCAAATGCTGACTGAAAAATATTCATACAAGCAGAATATACAAAATGTACATTTTTGTCGAAATACCGCGGAGTGGTAGCTGATGGTATGATTTATTTGGTCTGTTGGTACTTCTTTAAAAACTATAATCCTTAGAAAATCATGCAGTTACTCTTACAGAATCCCAAGTGCAGGAGAGGTGCTTACAAAGGCCGACCTTCATAGCCAGGCTCATGTTTGATCCTTGAAACATCTTCCAGTATGTAGAGGAAGTAGGATTCTTAAGGAAGCACAACTGAAACCTCAGTTTTGCTCTTCTTATGAAGGAAAGTTTGATATAAGACTTTTCTACTTTAGGGAAGCCTGGGTGGTTCAGTGGTTGAGCATCTGCCTCTGACCCAGGGCCTGATCCTGGAGTCCCGGGATCGAGTCCCGCATCAGGCTCCCTGAAGGGAGCCTGCTTCTCCCTCTGCCTATGTCTCTTCCTCTCTTTCTCTCTGTGTCTCTCATGAATAAATAAATAAAATCTAAAAAAAAAAAAAGATTTTTCTACTTTAGATAATATCTAGGATTTAGCCACTTTGTAATATCATAATTTGACCTTTTATGTTTTTGATTTTTCTATAACATAGGCATTATAGCAATTGTGCTTAAAACCATGGGTTCTGGAATCAGACCACCTGGTTTCAAACCCTAAATCTCCTATCAATCTCAGTATGTTTCAATTTCCTTATCTCCAAACAGAGATAACAGTATGTATTTCATATAATCATTTTAGAATTTGAATCAGATAATTCATATAAAGGGCCTAGCATAATGTCTGACATGGTAAAGTCTCAATGGATTTCCACTGTTATGATTATTGCATCAAAGTGTTTTATCTAAATGTAGGATGTTTGTTGTTTTAGAAGATACCAGAAAGAGGCAAAATATTCAGTTTTCTTGAACCCTTGCCTCTTCCCTATAACAATTTTTTTTTTTTTTAGGATGTCCTCAAACACAGGTGGCCTAATTCCAGTGCCTAGTGAATTTCCTTCCCTTTGGCCCTGCAGTATTTGCAGCTCCTCATATCTAGAATCAGCGCAATTATAATAGGAAGTCAAGCAAAACATTTTTTTGCATAAAGAGAGGAAGGCAGAATGTGAAATGGCGTTGACATCTGCGCTTCTGCCCTGGGCCAAAAGCAGAATCAGTTCTTTGCTGCTGATTCGGCATCCCATCTGCCGCCACCCCCAGCACTTAAGCCCTTCTTCTTTTCCTTTCCCTGCAGAACCCCGGGGATGATGAAGTCAGGGAGGGACTGAGGAGGGAAACAGGACAGAGAGGTTCAGGGAAAGACAACACAGTGATAACCCCCATTCTACAGGCGACCCAGTTGTTTTCATGCTAACTCTCCTCTGCCCGTGTCAGTTTTACTGAAGTTCTGTGGATGGTGTGCAGGTTCCCCTCTTTCTGATCAAGAGCTTTCCTGACATATGATTTAATAGTTCACTAAACTTCACTTTTTTTTTCTTTCAGATTTAATTTATTTATTTGAGAGAGAGAGAGAGAGAGAGAGCGCTCCCCCCAAGCAGGGGGAGCAGCATAGGGAGAGGAGAAGCCGACTGCCAGAGCAGCTGAGCAGGATCCTGGGATCATGACCTGAACCAAAGGCAGACCCTTAACCACTGAGTCACCCAGGCATTCTTAAACTTCCCTTTAAAAAAAAAAAAAAAAAAAAAAAAAATTTAACTCTTAGCCTATACCCTCAGAATAAGTCCTTTATTTTTATAAGGGATGCTTTAACTTCTGAGGTATATCCTTTGTCCAGGAAACTATAGCTGCATTTCACTGCCCCCACTTGCCAGCTGACCCACAGCTCTAACTCCCGCTGAAATGGATTCTTGTGTTAAGGTAAACCTCTTCTATCCTGAGAGGTACAACTAGGCTTTCTACAACACCATTACCTTAGAAATCACTTATTTAAAGTTTAGAACACAAAACATAACACACATGGAAAGGATATCTGCAATGTTGTAATTTAACTCTGATTTTGATGAAAACTTGAGGAGTTAAATAATAGAGTGATGAGTGCCCCAGAAAGGGACTTATCGAATAAATAAAAGGAAGCAAACGGAAAAGAGAAGTAGGGGGAAATTGTCCTAAATATATTCATTTTCAATGAAAAATGTTTTAAATATTTTTACTTACAAAGCTTAAGGCTAGTTTTAACTCAGACTGATTTTTTTTCAGTTATGTTTCCTGATGATTATTCCAAGTTTGTCTATGATTCAAAAGCATGAAATATTCATTTAAATGAACATAGAGTACTTGGAGGGTTATTTTTCAGGCTGCTTGGCTAGTGTGTTTTGTTTTCATTTGAATTTGAAGTTATCCTAACCCTTTATTCAAAGAGGCAGCTGACTCTGATTCTGACCTGAGTTTTAGAGATTCCTTTTTTTTCTTTAAGATTTCATTTGTTTATTTGACAGAGAGAATGTGCATAAGCAGGGGGAACAGCAGGCAAAAGGAAAGGGAGAAAGTAGGCTCCCTGCTGAGCAAGGAGCCTGGCATGGGGCTCAATCCCAGGACCCTGGGATCATGACCTGAACTGAAGGCAGGCACTTAACAGACTGAGCCACCCAGGCACCTCCCCTTTTTTCTAATAATTATTTAAGTAATCTCTCTACCCTCTTTGGGACTCAAATTTACAATCCCAAAATCAAGAGTCACATGCTCTACCAACTGAGCCAGCCAGGTGCCCAGCTCTTAGAGTCCTAATTATAATGCATCACATAAGTAGTTTTCATTCAGTGCTTAAATAAAAAGACCTCTGTGTTCACTTTCTAGACTGATTTTGCACGATTTAGCGGAACAAATGTGGAAACCGACTTTGTAGAGGTACCATCACAAATGCTTGAGAACTGGGTATGGGACATGGAGTCCCTCCGAAGATTGTCAAAACATTATAAAGATGGAAGCCCCATCATGGATGATCTGCTTGAAAAACTTGTTGATTCCAGACTGGTCAACACAGGTATGACTTGTAATTTTAGAAAAGGAAAATTTGTTAGAATTGCTTAAGAGGGAATTGCCGACATGTTCTTCTATAGAACTTATTTCCCCTTTAATAATCCTAGTGCTCTTAAAGTGCTATTATGGGGGGAGAAGACTGCTAAATATACGGGATTGTGCCCAAAGAAAAAAAAATCTGTCTCCTTTTAAATCTTAAGTGAGTTACCTTGCTCCCACTCTGTAGTATGTACTACAAGGCATCAGTTTTTGAAATCTTTGATCCTGTGATATTAGAACACATAGTTCTCTTTTCTCCAAAACATGCCCAAACATTCTTATGTTAATAGGTCTTCTGACCTTACGTCAGATTGTTTTGAGCAAAGTTGATCAGTCTCTCCACACCAACACATCGCTGGACGCCGCAAGTGAATATGCCAAATACTGCACAGAGGTTTTAGGTGTTGCAGCCACCCCAGGTATGTGAGTACCAAGACTTGAATTAATTTTTTTCTGTCCCACACACGGTAAAGTCCTACAGCACTGCTAGGGAAGGCCGAGATTGTCAGGAAGTTTACCTCATGTAATTTGTTTCTGATTTCTGTAATCAGGCAGTGACTTTGAGATAAGCTTACTATGTTCGTATGAGTTATCCTGTCCAAATATGCTTAAAGGAAAGGTGGCTCCAGCTTTCAGCATTTTAGTGTAATCATGCATGAGCAATTGGCCTCCACCCCAAAGCAGAGAAAGCCATTCACGTTTGGCAGCACCCACCTGGCTCCTCCCTCCATATATGTACCAGGACTTCCCAGTGATTCCACTAAGAAATTGGCAGAAGGAGGCAGTTTTAAAGAGAAGCACAAACCTTGCTTTTGATTTTGGTTCTGAGATCAGTTAAGGCAGTTTTAACTAGCACTTTCTAACCCTATATTTATGATATTCATGTGTGTGGGTGGGTAGGTGCACACACATGTGTTCACATTTATATATTTACATATTTTAAGCCAACAGGTAGTTGTTCGTGTGCACATAGTTGGTAGGGTGATTTTTTTCTCTGTAAAAGTCGTTATTTAAATAAATCCGTCAACATTAATAGTGATGATAAAGATCAGAAGAGTTCATTGAGTCCATCCCAGATCCTCACTTACTTTTGCGATCTCTTTATAGCAGACCATACGACAACTCTTTGCCTGAGGCCACTTTGACAAAATCCTTTTTAAAAGTAGTCCTAGAGGTAGATTGGGTAAAAATTTTTAGGTTTTTAAACAAACTTTTTTTAGGTTTTTAAATAATTCTTTTTCAGTAATTATGAACCTAAAATAAGCGCCGTTCTGACAAATTTTAGATATAAGGAGGTGTGACGAAGGGTAGGCTTACTAGTAGAGTATCTGTAAGATACATATGCATCTAAGGGATAAGAAAGGACTGAGTTGTTCTGAAACACTGAGCTATCTGATGGGTGTGGACAAAGCCTCTGAAACTATTGTTAGGCATTCCAAAGCTTAAGGCCGAAACCAGCTCAAGGTTGAGTCATCATAGCAGAGAAGTTTGTAAACATCTTGGCGGAGGGCACATGTGAATCCAGGGAGTACTACAGGTAGGATCCTGCTTGTCTCCTCTCCCCAGTGCCTGCACTCCCCCTAGGGAAACCTTAGGCAGCTGATAACCTGATAATTAACACTGGCCATCACATTGATTGAAATGTATCTTTCTTTAAAGGCACAAATATGCCAGCTACTTTTGGACATTTGGCAGGGGGATACGATGGCCAATATTATGGATACCTTTGGAGTGAAGTATTTTCCATGGACATGTTTTACAGCTGTTTTAAAAAAGAAGGAATAATGAATCCAGAGGTATTGTATTTTCTTTTCTCCTTTTTGTTAATTTTGCAATTGCCTCCCTCCCCTTTAATTCCTACTGTAAAGTACTTATTACGTGTAGATTTTAGAATAAGAGGTTCGGTAACAGCTTTCAACTTTAAAGTCTTGCATCTTTTCAAATCATACATCATTAAGTTGCAGTGCACAAGTGATTAACTCTAATTCTATAAGTTTAAAAAAAAACTACTACATTTTCTTGCTTATTAACATTCCAATATATTGCATAATTAAAATTCAAAGCTTTGTTTATGCACTTGAGCATTTATAGCAGCTAGTTTTGACATGTGCTGAACCATGTTTTAGTTTTATAGGACGTTGGGAAAGAAAGGTAAACTCCTTCCTGATAGAAATGATCTACATAGGTTTTGATATTCTCTACACAGTTTCTTTATACATTTTCTGCGTGAGGTACCCTTTCTCTGTGGCTGGCCTACCCCACCTACTACATAGTCTGTAACCCAAATGCCTCTAAGTAATTCAAGCTGCTTTATTAACCTGAGCCATTCCTTTCTGTGTATAGTAAATTGACTGCCAGGTGGCTACCAGCCAAACCTTCCTGAGTTACAGACCCCCAGTCTCCAGTCTTGTTGAAGACTCAGCTGTCGGATTATTTCTAGGGCTGATGCATTTTCCAGTGTGCTTTCTATTCTGTTTGATTCAGAAATGAGAAGAACAAATTCTCAAAATCAGGCTCTCTGTACTTATTTTAGCTAACCAATTTGTTCCCTTAAACTTTGTTTCTGGATTGCATAGTGCTCCACACATAGATACTGAAATACATGGCTGTCGTTTAGACCACCATCCCCCCCAAGCTCACCCCGCACCCCCGCCAAAACACTTTCAGGGCACTTACAGTCTATACACTAGCCTTTCTAATCACTCCATCTTCCATCCCACCCTACCCAGGCTCTTAGGTCACTGTAGGTCTCCTTCCATTCCCTAGCCCACCTATTACAATGGTCAACCACTAACTATTCTTATAAATACCTTGACTTCTGCATGACCTTCGGCTAAGTGCCCAGAGCCCTGGATTTCTCCACCAGCGCACTTGGAGATGGTGCCCTTGGGATTCAAAGCTTTCTGGGGAAGATCGTGTGACTCCATTAACATACCCCACTACAAAGTCATGCTATCCAACCTGTCTGGACCCCCAGTGTTACTCTGCTGTCTTCCTCCACCTCCCTTATTGCATTCCCCGGAGTCTCTTAATACCTCTCTCCTCTCCTCTAAGAAAAGTAAGGGCATCAAGACTGAGTACTTCATCTTTTTATTCTCTTTCTATACCTCAGTACTTACCTTCTTTCCTCCATTGTCTCAGCAATGTCTCTAATACCAAGCCTTACTGGTTTGCCATCTCGGGGAAAAAAATGGGTAATTGCTACTGACTCTGATAACCCTGTTGCTACTATTCGGTTGTTCTTCCTTTACAGCCTAATTTCTTGCTCTAAGAAACAGTCTTGGCCAACTTCTGTTACCTGGCTTTTTTTTTTTTTTAAGATTTTATTTATTTATTCATGAGATACACAGAGAGAGGCAGAGACACCGGCAGAGGGAGAAGCAGGCTCCCTGTGGGGAGCCCAATGTGGGACTCACTCCTAGGACCCCAGGATCATGACCTGAGCTGAAGGCAGATGCTCAACTACTGAGCCACCCAGGTGCCCCTGTTACCTGGCTTTTGCCTCCATCAACTAAACTGGAAATTACTCTCCAGTTAACCATTGATGAGCCATTGGCCAACTTCCAAAGGCCCTCACCTGCCATTTCTTTTTTTTTTTTTAAATTTCCTTCTTATTATTCCTCTTCTTGTTTATAGTCCTTTCCTTAGCAATCAAATCCCTTCCTTACTTCCCAGAAGACTCCTTGTGTGTTCCCATAGGTCTTTGCACCTTCACAAATTTTATTCATTTTGTTTTTTCCACCTAAAACATGTGCCTTCCTTGTCTATGCCTCTTAAAAATTTTACCATTCTTAAAGGCCCTATTCAAATGGCTACTCACTTATGAAATGTTCCAGATCATTTAAACCAAAAGTGGCCTTTCCATATTTTGAAGAGCAGAATGGATTTGGGCATGAGGGAAGGGCTTCAACACCTTTTTTCTTATGTCTGGAGTGTTTAATACACAGAACAAAAAAAGTCGGGTTATAAAATATTTTGTACCATCGAATATAAATTTTTATTTTAAGGTGTGTTTAGAAAAAGAGTACATCAAAATGTTCATTCTTAGCTTCAGGTAATGACTTTATGAGTGATTATTCAATATTTTTCTGTGTTTTTTTTATGGAGCTTTTCCTTATTTTTACATAAAGCATGCATTATTATAGAAATCAGAAAACAATGATTAAAGAGATACAAGGTCTAGTTATATAAAGGTCAATTACGACCTGTTACTGGCTTTTACTAGTGGGTGAGGCTTCCTGGCATAAGTACTACAGTACCTTTTTCAATTACTCTTCCTCATCCACCTCCTCTGTGCTTCCACTCCCACAGCCACATCTCCAGTACCCTCCACTGTCACCTCTTCTCTTCCACCTGTCAAGGTAACAGCCAAAGTACTGATCCCAGTGGACCACAAGGAACTTGCAAGTCCAGCAGATCAATCCCTGCCCTTATGCTTCTATGTACTTCCTTTTGTTCTCAAGCTTCACAGCTTGGTAGGCAGCCAGACTACTTTTAATTTAGAACAGGGACCTGGGATCCCTGGGTGGCGCAGTGGTTTAGTGCCTGTCTTTGGCCCAGGGCGCGATCCTGGAGACCCAGGATCGAATCCCACGTCGGGCTCCCGGTGCATGGAGCCTGCTTCTCCCTCTGCCTGTGTCTCTGCCTCTCTCTCTCTCTCATTCTGTGTGACTATCATAAATAAATAAAAATTAAAAAAAAAAATAGAACAGGGACCTGGGTTGATCCTGGAGAAAGCAAAATTCCCAACAACTTGGAATTTTTGCCTTGTAATGTTAAAAACAGTTTTCAGTTTTGCTATAATTCTGGATATGACATCACTGTGTGTTACTCATTTTATGCCATGAAACTGACTTTATTTAATCCTTTCCTATCAAATACTCTGGGATATCATGTCATTTCTTGCTCCGCTGCTGTCACAACAGTAGTGAATCTGGTTCCAGCAACTAAGGGGAATCCCTCCACACCATACCTTCACACTATTCACTGCAGTGGCAGATACTAGAACAGCTTTTTAAATAGCCATTTTGTTCCATCTTACAGTGTACTGTTTGGTTTTGTTTGCTTTAATTTTTTTTTAATTTTTGCCAACGTTTGCTTTAAAGTGATACCTCCTTGGGGCCCTTATGGGGCCTTATGTTGGCCTTCAGCTCTGATCATAATCCTAGGGTACTGAGATCAAGCTCTACATCAGGTTCCTTGCTCTTCAGGGAGTCCACTACTCTCCGTCTGCCCTGTCCCATCACTCGTGCTCTTTGTCTCTCTGTCTCAAATGAATAAGTAAAATCTTAAGAAAAAAATAAAAATAAAGTAATATCTGATTTATAAAATTCAAATACCCACTTATTAAAAGTTAATACTTTGAGGCAGTAATCTCATTCTACAAAAAACATCAGTCATTATTACAGGTATGTTGTGATGAAAAAGAAGAATTTTTTAAAAGTAAGTTTGTTTGTTTGTTTATTATAATCTCTACAGCCAGCATGGGGCTTGAACTCACAACCTTGAGATCAAGAGTTGCATGCTTCTCCAACTGAGCCAGCCAGGTGCCCTGAAAGAATTTTTATAGTATAAGGAAATACTGAATTTGATCTGAAGTCATGGGTATCAGAGCAATCACAATATATCATACAGTCTGTGTTATCTCAAAGCCCTCACCCTCCCAACTATGTTTTGTTTTTTTTCCTCATCACTGAATTCTGCTATATTTTCTAGATTTACAAAGTTTTCAGCAGAAAGGGACCAGTTATTATTGCCCAGCACAGTGAGTTAAAAAGACTTTCCCAAAGCCATTATAAAAATTCTGGAATAATAAGAATACAAAATAGACTCTAGAAACTTTCAGTATGAAACCACAACAAAAGCAAGAAACAAATGACAAGACACTGTGAAAGGAAGGAGATATAGACTCCCTTAGAATTCTTAATAAGCATCACAATTGAGTACATATTGGTGTCACTGAGTTGACACCTAATAAGACAGGTTAATTTCACCAGTAAGTATTTGAATCATTTTGAGAAGATAGTGGTGTGGCCCTTCAAGGAATCAGTGCCTACTATGCTTAGTCCCCAGACTCTAGAGAGGCTGAGGACTAACTAGATCACATACTGTTGACATTAGCAGTCCTGTCATTGATAACAACAAAAGAACAAGGGACACCTGGGTGACTCAGCGATTGAATGTCTGCCTTTGGCTCAGGTCGTGATCCCCGGGTCCTGGGATCGAGTCCTACATCGGGCTCCCCACAGGAAGCCTGCTTCTCCCCCTGCCTGTGTCTCTGCCTCTCTCTGTGTCTCTCATAAATAACTAAATAGAATCTTTTAAAAACAAAAACAAAAGAACATCTCCAGACCTTCTCACTATAACCTCTTGCTTGTCCGAGAAACATTCCAGACCTTAGCAAGCAGAACTGTAGAAAGTGCCTTACTCACTGGGAAAACAATAAAAGGAAGGGTCAAGTATAAAGCTTTTCTTTTGTTTTTGGTTTTTTTTTTTTTTAAGTAATCTATACACCCAGTGTGAGACTCGAACTCACAACCAAGATCAAGAGTCAGATACTCTACCAACTGAGTTAGCCAGGTGCCCCAAACCTATAGCCTTCCGAATACCAAGGGTAGCAATAGCATATTTTATGGTACACTGGTTTCATTCTGCTTTGAGGGCTCTATCAAAGTATTAGAATTGGCCACTTACCTATAATAGCCACAAGTTTGCTCCCTCTGGCTTTATTTGTGATTTTCTAATTTCTTCATTGTAAATAGATAGACTGTCTTAACTATATAATTAGTTAAATATA